CGTTATATAAGAAAAAGAAGAGTATTTCAAGAGACTGTCCCAGCATAATAGTTTGATGTACAAAAAACTTTAAATCATGAATACAGGCCTTTGTGAAAGAAATACAATGGGCAACCAAGAATGAATATATGGATGAGATGTGGGTAGAAAAACACGGATGTATATCCAAAAATAAAGAAGAGTATTAGGAAAAAAATGTTCAAAGGACTACAGCTTGTGGTCTAAGGCATAACTAGTTTCAAAAACCCACAGACACAAATGAGAAAAAAAAAAAAGGAAAAGGAAAAGCTGACTGACGTTCCTAAATGGCCCCAGGCTTAGAGAGAGAGGCTGCCTTTGAGGATGTCAGACAACCCCTAGAAGAGCCCCAGCAGGCACCTTCAGCTGCAGAACTAAGTTCACCCCGTGGCCTAGTTAACCATTCCCACTCAGGGGAGATTTCCACAGGCAAGGGAGAGAGCACACTGGCAAACACATTTCTCCAGCTGCTGCCAGATGCCTGCAATCTCATCAGCCCAGAATTCTGATCTTTCATGAGAGGTCAGCGACCTTTACAAGGGCAATACCTCAAATGTTCTCAGACATCTAGACCTTTGTGTGGATACATTTCAGGTCCTTGCTTGAAAGGAGGCTCTACAAGTAAAGGGAAGAAGAGAGGCAGCGCACTGGGCATTTAAAGGGAGGAAGGAGAGGATGCACCTTCTCAATAAAAGCTGGCGGTGGTGCAGGCAGATGTTGACTTTTCACAATGTTGCCTAAGATTAGCCATCACTCTCTGAATCATGCATCCTCTAGAACACTTGTGTAGATGGGTTATGTGTGTATCTGCACACACATGCAATAAGGAATAGTTACACTCAAGATCATCGCTAATGTGTTTTGACCTCTTACCACATGCCAAGCACTATGCTTTATACTTGTTATTGCATTTCATCTTTACAGTAAGCCAATGGGGGTGGGTATGTTACTTTTCTTATTTAATAACCAAAGAAACAGGTTTAGGAACTGATTTTCATATAGCTAGTAAGTGGTAGAGTAAGCAATCAAACCAGTCGATCCAATTCCAATGTAGCCACTACATTTGTGTACTAAACTTAAGCTACAATGTTTTTATCATAAACACACACAAGGCCCAATGTTTTAGACCCTGCAGCCATAAAGGCAGAAGCCCTAGCCATTGAGTTTTTAATCTCCTGATTTAACACATACCAAGTGCACAAAAAATGCACTGAGAAGGAAAAAAATTCAGCAATGCACCTTCAGAAAAGATGGGAAACAAGGAGGGAGAGTGAAAATGGAATGATATAAACTTTAAAGGTAGAGCATTTGCCAAAAGTAGAAATGAAAAATAAGAACTTTCTGTATCTCTGAAAAACGATGAAAATGTAACCTTCTAAACCTTGAAGGAATTGTTTTAAGTTCAACAAAAAAATATACAACTTTGATGAGGCTTTCTCCTAAATTCTGACAATAATCATATAAAATCCCTGGGCAGAAAAATGTGCACAGTATCAAGTTTTTATGGTTATTTATAATTCACCGATCTACTGCCAATTCGTCTGTCTCACAACCTTGTGTATCTCTATTCTGCACTTTCCAAACTCACATAGGAGTGTTTCGTATATGTGAGAGTGCTGGGGGAGAGAGATAAAATAGTGCCTGGTACACTGTAGGAGCTCAACAAATGTTCTCTGAGTGAGTCATTAAAGGGCAAACATGGCAAACCCATCGCAAATATCAGATTTACTCAAAGATAAGCAAATTAAAATTTTTTTAAAATAATAAAACCATCATGATACAGAATGGAATGGGATATAAAATATAAGTGAATTTCTAAGCTAAAACTCACAGCTTCAAATAAAAATGAACTCGCTTTGCTACATGCTTAAGGTTAACTTAGGGAGTCTGTTTTCTCCTTTCCACCATTTTTATCACTTAGCTGAAAAATTTGGATAAGTATACGCATATGAATGTGTACACATGTATTTACCCTGGATCATGGACGACTGACCTTTCTATTTTAAAATGAATCTTGTTTAGGGAACCTTTTTTTTTTTTTTATAATGTCACTTTAGAGAGAAACGATGCATCCTTCCTTTTAGTATATTAGCAGATAGCACAGTGGGCCCCTAAGAACCACGGTCACTAAAGGGTAATTGCCTCCTTCCCTTTCTCCTCTCTAAAACAATCATGCTATGATTCACATTTCATGCAATTATTTGAACAAAAACCAAAAGAAAGACAATTTCTATTCTCCACTGCTTTTCACTTAACGAGTTGGAAAAAGAAATGCAAAAATATCATCCTTGTCCCCCACACCTTTCAACCTCTTGCCCCCAACCATGACGATCCCAGGAAAGGGCTCTGAACGCCAAAGAGCACTAACTAAACAAGTGTGAGCTCTCATGCTACTAGGTAACCAGGAGGCCATTTAGTGCACTAAAGTGCAGCGGAGGTTAGCCAAGTCGAGTGTCCGAAAGAATCTGGACATGTCGACGGCAGTGCTGAGTTAGTCAAGCAAAGAAGCAAGTAACTGGTGACTGGAATATTTTGAACTTATTGATCCTGAACCTTTCTTTAGAAAATAAATGAGTATCACAGATCCCTTATGGACCCCAAGGGACATTTATAAATAAAAAATCTTTGTCAACTTGAGACCAAAAGTGGTTCAAGAATTTGTCTGATGGCTAAAACAGAAGGGACCTCACCTCACACTGTTGAAACTATTCCAGGTACAGCCATGGTACAGGCATCTATTGGGCCTTTAATAATTTCTATAGGGTTTTTTTTGCTAAAACTTCAAAGAAAAAGTTATTTTATTGTTCCCCTGCACCCTCTGTTAACTTTTGATCCAATCTGGTAAGATATATTCATAGGACAGTGATAAAACATAAAACAAAATAAACTAGGGTTATAGTCCAGGGTAAGATGGTGGTTATTAAGGCTCTAACTCCAGGGAAAGAGAGGCTCTGTAAAATTTATTTCAATATATGGAATGCAGGCACTAGCTGAGGAATATTTAGATGTATACATAAAATGAGCTATGACATTATCACAATAATCTGACACATCTCAGCAATTTAGTTTTCCCACCTTAAATGTATATTACATTTATCTCTCCTAGGTGACTCTTGTATAGCCCTCTTAAGCTTCCTAAAAATATATTCAGTATGAAGGCAAACTGATATTATTCATCCCAATTTCACCATTTGCAAGGAAATCCCCCTGAGGAGACAATTCCACAGCCCGCTGCTGCTCACGGGGAAGGGCCAACGCCTTTCCTCACTCTTACTGCTCCCCAAGCTCTCATTGCAAGGACGTGAGAAAAAGGCATCCAACTTGGCAGGGTGACAGGTCAAAAGGTCAAGGATCAATATAGTGATGTGCTTTAGGATATTCGCTTGATTAAGTGAGCTTCGTAAAATATTTAAGGAGGTTTATACTTACCACTTAGGAAATAGTCATCAAGTTACAAGAACACAGCAATTCTCGATGTCTGCTTTTCATGCAAGCAAACACTAGCACGTAAAATGTACTGCTTGCGGAACTCCGCAAATACCTACATTTAATGGGAATTTTCACCCTGCATATTCAGTTTCTGCTGACCCAGGAGTTATTGTCAAAACTACTAGGAACTCTTGCACTACATCGTATGTAGGCAGTGGTAGGAAGTAGCCCAATAACATGCTGGGAAGAAGAAGAAACGCATTTGGGTTGACACAATCCACCCTAGTTAATCCTCAAAAGTGAAATTTCTACATCCTATAATCAAGAGTTGCTGGGCATTTGATTAAATACCCCAGGCATTTGGTCCCCAACCTATTTTCATTTCCCCCGCAACAGGCAAACAAGAGAAATTAGACCAAGAACCTAAAGAAACAAAGTGTGTACTTTAATACAGAAATGCTTTTACCTGCCATGCCTGCTGTGATCGAAATGGGCTGGGTTTTCACAATGTTAGTCAGCTTAACTCCCAGCTGGTGGCACTGGGAAAATGTAGTCATGCAGTCTTACTGCTCTGTTTCTGTTCCTTAACTGTCAACTGAACTACAATAGAGAGTCAAAAGGAAACAAAAGAGAGACGGACCCAGAAAGAACCGGAAGGATGACAACAAAGCAAGAAAAGAAAATGATGAGTCAAAGACACTATGCTGGCCAAATATGGCAGCTCAGACTACTTCCACATTGAAGGCAATCATGCTTCAATTCATTGTCACTTTTCCCCTCAGAAATTCATGATATTTTACAGACCACAAATTATCTAGTAGATATGTGGATTAAATATATTTTATATATTCTGGGAGATTTTGGTATAAACTTAAATGATGTTGAAAACACTAATATTTTTGAACTACAAAGACAGCACCTTATCACTGTGATGGATTGTAGCATATGTGACCAAATTAAGAGGGCTAGATATTTACGTTATCATCATATTATATCTACAGGCCCTGGAACTTTCCATATGTCCAGCTCTTCCGTTACCTTCTCATTATCTTTTGTACTTTTCCCTTCTCAAGTGGGTGTTGCAGTTTTACAACAGTAACCACAAGGCTGTCACTTATCACAAAATCTTTATTTCCCATTTTAACTTCAGAACACTTCAAAGTGCCATTGTTTTGGGTTTGTTCACATTTAAGAATTCATACATCAAAAGTTACACCTCATCAAAAGTTAGAGAAGAGTATGCCTTTCTCCCCCATAAAAACTGTAATGTACATAATTTATTTTTATTGAAATATGTTACATGCTTAATGAGTCATAATTTTCTAAGCTGCAAAGGATGAAAGATAGTAAAATAATGTAATTAATACAGAAATAAAAGACATTAAGTAGCTTGGCTTTAAATGCCTCAAATTGGTCACAGTTTAGACAATGTATATGAAGCTTTATATTACACATTTGTGTGTCAAATTAATAAATGAAAACTTTCTTGGGGCTGGGAGATTGATAAATAAAATCTAATGTAACCTAATCTGTAGGGCATGATAAAATCTTACCTCATCAGATGGGACATCCAGAATGTTGCATTTTCCATGTTATTTTATTAATAATGCCATATCAGGCTTCTAATAGTTTTTCTTATAGAATATTGTCTTTCATGAAAATCAGTCAGGATATTAACAGGATGATCTAAAGCTAGAGTACAAATTGTAAACAATTGTTGCCGTTGCTTTGGCCAATCTGGAAATTTAGGGAAAAAAGAATAAGAATTTTCCACCATCAGCAAACACAAGAAATTAATAGTAAGATATTTCTATATATTACCACGGACTTGCTAGCATTTTATATTTTAACTTTCTTATAATCAATTTTTGATCCCACAAAATATTAAAACTCAAATTATATTGACCCCCAGACATAGCAAAGTGGTAATTTGATAATTTTCTGCATTGAGACCTGAATTATCTTCCTTGATAATATACTCTGCTCAAATTCATTGTAAAAATGACCAATTTACCATCTCACTTCACATGAGGAAGACAATGCTACAGAATGTGGGTCCCAGGGTAGAACAACCAAATGCTACCTGGGGAGAGATGAGGGTACCAGAGCGTGTGTGAGTAACTTAAATTGTTCCAATTATTCTTTTGCTTATAAAATGATTCCTATACTCCCCATTATGAGTTCTAAAAACATACACTTGGAAGTAAGAGCCATTAGTATACGTCATTTTGTACTGCCAGACGCCAACTCACAATAAATCTTTTACCTTGTAGAGAGATGGGACATCAGAGGGCTCATAATAGAATGAGTGATGCATAAAATGTTCTTCAGTTTACTTCTCCTGGGATTTATACTTCCAAACCTAGGAACACCGTCTGCCTGCATGGACAGAATGCTAAGCAATGCAGTAAAACTACTAATGCGTTATGTATAGCTTTCCAACTTTGCAAAATCTAGAAGAAACTGCAAAATAAGCAAACAAATAAGCAAGTATATGTCTAAATATTCTGGCACAAGTTGGCTGGAAAAATACACTGTTTAAATAAGGAAGGTCAGAGATGGGCTCAAATTTTTAAGTATGATTATGTAAGTAACATGCTTTTTCTTAGAAGGTGAAGAATTACTGCATTCTTGGTTATAAGTTTGAGAGACTGTTTTCTATTGTATAACACAAGTATTCCACAAGGAAATCACTAGATCTGAATTACAGATAAAATGTTGGCCAAATGGTCCTTTTTTCCCCAAAAAAGTACCCAAAAGAATAAAGAAAAGAAGTGAATCTAAGAGAAATAGATGAGAAAATTTTATATGCTGAAATTCTCATTCAATTTCTTCATTTTCTTGCAAAAATTGTCACTAATTTTTTAAAGGCATAGTTTCAAATCAGAATTTTTTCCATTCCTAAATTTAGCCTCCATTCCTTGTGTCATATTTCTTTAGTCATGAGAAGGAAAATCAATGCCCCTGCTCACCTGTAGAAGCATTTCACTGCCAAGTCTCCATGGTTCCATGGGATCCAATAGCCCGTGGCTCAGTATTGATTTTTCTATGACACCTGTAGAAACAGCCTCTCCTTCCTTTGTAACAAAATATAGCAACAAAAATCGTGTAGTTTCTGAATGAATTTAACAGACGCTATTAAGTACAACTTCATCCTGTAAGGAAATGTGATCTACATTTCCTAAAAAAAGACACTTTTGGTTGATTTTCCTGAGCCATTTAACAACTTTTTAAAAATAACATGAACACGTATTGGTAAAAGTAATTTGAACGTCGTTTTCTTTGGTACCTTGCTGCTAACTCATATATTACAGGTAGCATTAATTTTTCTAAGGAAATTGACAAATGGTAAATAAAGCCTATGAAACTTCCATTCTCAGTTTTAAAATTTCTCCAAAATAAAACCATTTTTGACTATGAAAAAACACAATCATGCCTTTGAAGACTAAAGTTTTGATGAAATGGAGGACTCTTTGAGACAGTGAAGTAGAGCATGTCAAATCCTAGGAGAGAAGGTAGGTTAACCTTTGGGAGTATTTTATAACATTAAAAGAATTGGGAGAACCCACAAAAACCACCAACCTTCCAACTTTCCTTGACAAATATAGAAAAAAAAAAAAAAAAGAAGAACAAGAACAAGAAATAGTCATGTTTCCAGCATTCTTCACACACCTGATTTAAACCTCAAAGGTATTTGTTTCACCCTGGGCAAACTTCTTTGGGCATGTCTGAATTTATTCCCTGCAGCCATTCTGCATTGAATGGAGTAACTATAGTTGGCAACCCACTCCATCACTCATTTCATCAGCCTGAGAATCTGCAAAATAAAAAAAAGCAGTGTTAAAAAAATTCCTTTCACATTTGCTTTTCCTAGGAGAATCCTAGAGAAGAAAACACAAAGCAGGTTGTTTCCTATAACATATGTGACATCTTGGTTAAAAGTGACAAGGCCATGTTGCAATCTGACAGGTTTAGTGTTAAGACCTGACAGATATAAACCTACAAGAACAACCTCCCTGCCACAGATACTTAAGCTGATGGTAAAACTTTGATTTGATAGTCCCTTGATTAGTTTGTGCAACAGAGTGCTACTGCCTCTCAAGTTCATTATAAATCATGCTATTCTTCACATTACTGTCAATTTAACCTCCCGTTTCACTAAAATGCAGGCATTTTAACCGCTCATCAAACCTGTGCACATTTTTGAGTTAAAGATTTGGATCAATCCGAACTCCAGCTCTCAAGGGAGACATTCCATTGTTTATCAGGCCATGTCTACACTGGCTGAGCAAAGCGCTCTGTTCAGAAGGAGAAGCGCCTTTGGCAGCTAGAGTCCACATAGCTGACCCATGGATGCTCGGGCGGAGCGTCTTCACCTAATTGCACAATGAAATAACTAGGCATTTGATGAAAATGACCCATGACGACCAAAATACATGGCGTGATTGTTGTTCTAATTTATTTACATGGTAGTAATTTAGAATGTAATTCAAAGACCCTACAAAATAATAATAATAATAATAATGCTTACACTTTACAGGCAACGATGAATATGGGTGTTGAAATAGCTGATAATGCAACATTCGGTTTAACCCAAGTCATTATTTTTTCTAAACAAGACGGTGGTGGCACAATTTTAAAATGCAATAGTCTCCCCTAACTGGTCTAAGTTAAGGTTACACCTCTGATTTTATATGTATGGGAGAAACATTCTCAGCGTTCAAATAACTGAAAAGATAATGTGGATCTCACCCAAACGTGTGTCAAAATGACAGTCGATATTTTGGAGGAAATATTTACACTCTTCCCACTTGTACCATTAAGATTTAGTAACACCGTGGGTGCATTCTATTCTGGGGACAGTACAATGCCTTCAAATCATCCTGAACATTGAGATCCTTTCACCAGATTTTATAATAAAAAAGAGGCTTAGTAGAAATGTTCTACTAAGAGCTATGAAATTATAGGCTTCCCCTTTCTTCCACCCAAACATACTCAACCCTGTGAAATAATAGATACAGCACTAATCACCTCTGGAATTTTGCCAGGCTTCCCCCATCTGGGAGTTGGCAGACTTGGACCAAATTGCCTTGAAGGAAGAAAGCCTCTTTCACCCCCATGGCTACCCTCAGACGGTGTCCGAGAGCGTCCATTCCAAATCTTTCAAGAAAGCAGGGGTGAAGGTTTAAACGTATCAGAATCTATCAGAACTGTGCTTTATGAGCTACACTTTACCAATCTCACCCCAAAATAAATTTGCTACATCCAACTCCGAACCCCAGTTTCCCTAATCACTTGGACTTTGCAGGTTGGATTATCTCCCATTTTTTTGCCACTCCTATCTTCAGATTTTTCAAGATAGTGGTCAGTCTGCTTCTATTGAATAACAGTTCAATTTAGATGCTAAATTTTCTTTTGCTGGGAGCAAAATTCCACCTTCAGACTGAGTCACGACAACACATTAGCTGAATAACTTATAAATTACCACTCAAACTCTAAAACCAAAATAAATCTAGGTGGTCAAAGAATTGCTTTATTTAGCAAAGTCCAACTAAAATAAATCTCCTCTATTATTTTCCTCTTCCTCTATGAGGTCCTGAGAATGTCTACATAGAAAACCAGTGTCTATTATATTTTTGCCACACAATGTTTGAACACCTCAAGATGATGATGATGATGACGATGATAACAGCAAGCACTTCTATGTCCTCCCTATGTGCCTCACTAGGAGCTGTTCTAAACGCTGTATATGCATGACCTCATTTAATCCCCATGACAACTCTATTAGGTAAATACTATTATTTCCCTTTTACAGATAAGGAAACAGAGTCACAGAGGCAGCAAAGAACTTGCCCCAGATCACACGGTGAGGAAGTGTAGAGCTAGGATGTGAATCCAGGCAGTTTAGCCCCAGAGTCTGTCCTTGCCCGTTGCTTCTCTTCCCCTTGTCCGGCCACGGCAACCAAACCGATGTCATCATGGATGGGGATTTATAGCAAAGGGTGGTTTCTTTACATTGGCTCTTTCTTTCCTATGAGTGGAATTAATATGCCTGGAGCGAAAGTGTTACTCTGTGAACTGCTCTGGCCCTTAGGCTCACTTTTTCTGCTACTTTACAGGCATCTTCTTCCAGAGTGAGCCAGCATCTCCATCTTTCACAATAAGTTAGATGCACTCAGAAGCAAAATGGATTCTCAGTGATGATCATTTCAAGGTACCCTTTACTCTTTTAAACCTTAAATTCTGGAAGATACTCAATAAATGTAGAAAGCATCAAGTAAGACAGGAACTGCAAGTACAAAGATGATTAAATAGGGCCTCTGAGTGGAGCATGTAAGTAATGGTTGACTCATGGAATCAGGCCTCCTGATGTCAAATCCTGACACTACCTTTTTCAAACCGGATCAGTTAATTGATCTCCCTGTGACTTAGTTTCCTCATCTATAAAATGGAAATAAATATACCACACAGGGTTGTGAGGATCAAATACACAAATCCATTTAAAATGCTTAACCCAGTGCATGGCACATAGTGAGCACTCAATAAATATCTGCTGTTGTTATTATTACATGTAGTTTGTATAAGACTAGCCTCCAGTGGCAGCTTAGCACTAACAATCAAAATGTTGCCATTTGGATGTGAAAATATTAATAGAGATCTTAGGAAAATTGGTTGTAGTCACAGGAAATCCTTTCAGTTCATGGAAAATTTGGCTTTAAAAATTCACTGTGACAATAGCTCCACATATATTGGGTAGTTGGAAAAGTCATGATGTATTTTTCCTGTTTTTTGTTGCAAAGATGCATCATGACTTTTCCGACAACCCAATAATTTCATTCCCCTTTAATTTGCAAGCATACAGGCAAATCACCGGGTATATCAGGATCACCTAAAAAATCATCAGAGCGTGCAATGTTGTCAGACACTCACTTCAAGAGCCAGGAGTAGATTTTTCTATAAGGTTAGGTTTAAAGTAACAGAAAACGATTGCTTGCTTAATTGTTTTTCTTTAAATATCATAACCCAGATGTCTGCACAGAGTTACTGAAGTGAAATTGACCTGGACGGTAGGGATGCAATGTTAACAATTGTGCAATTCAGCTGTAGTGAAGCTGTCCCTGCATTCAGCTTATCTGTTTCTTTCTTTGCTCCCTTCCCTTCTCTATTTTCTAAAAGCTTAGGCTTATGCTTAAGTGCCAACTCTTTGAGGCCACATGGGTGACTTAGAAATGGCTGCTTAGGAATCTGAAATAGAAATTTCCATCGCAAAGAGAAAGTAACGCAAGTACTAAAAGAAAATTACTCGCTGAATGCCCACTTTGCACTGAGCTATTTGGTAAGTGTTACATAAAGAGAAAGGAACAGATTGAAATCTTCTTTCCTTTCCGTTCTAAAATGGACACACCATTATGAGAGAGCGCGAGGAGTCTAGAAACCCAGCAGGAGAACCACGGAGAAGCTATTCGAGGTAACGCTCACACTTTTGCCTGGATGTCCCCAGGATGCACTGAACTGCCTTTTTGGGGTCCAGGTGCCACGGGACTTAAGCAGCACCTGGTCTCCAAGCAGCTGGCAGTGAGGAGGGGAGCCTTTGCCTCATGCCCAGTGTCTCGGACGCGGCATACACTTCGGCAATCCTGAGGGGAAGGAAGTATTGATGTATAAAGTAGCACCCTAATCAAGAATTAAGATTTTGAATAAAAGGATCAGTGTGTAGCTTCATCCGGTATACAGAGGATAGACAGGAAATGGAATGGTGAGACAAAGCACACAAGGCTTAGACTTTAATCCTCCATCTGTACCTGTAAAAGCTGACCACTGTCAACATTCAGAAGGCACAACTTACAAATGCACAGCCCACCAGACCATCATTCTGAAATAAGGTTGTAGCAATAATCAGCCTCGGCCTCTCTAGAGGAGCATGGTGTGTGCCAGAAATACTCATCTGTCTCAAGTATCATCGAGTGAGGGGCAGTTCTAGGATTAGAACTCATGGAGGTAGAAGAAGGCAGTTGAAGTGTTAGAGAAGAACTAACATTTCCTGAT